GCTCTAATTTTTAAAAAAAATTTTTTTAAATTTTAAAAATTAAAATTTAAAAAATTTTTTAAAAATTCAAAAATAAAGGAGCACTCTGTAAATCTAGACTTGTAACTTCCACTTACTGTTTCTCAAATACCTCTCTATGTCAGTGAGTGTTCTTTGGTAACTATTTTTAATAGCTGCAGTGTATTCCACTGCAGGAAAATTTCTGCACATTTCTTTAATAATTTCCAAGTGACATTGATGGATCAAAGATTTTTAAATTTTTAAATTACTGATGTATTGGTAAATTGACCTCCTCTGGCTTGATACTATCGGAGTTGCCCTGGGGCCTCAGGCTAAAGCTCCAAAGGCGAACACCTCTACCCCTCTTGCCTATGCTGAGCCCTCTCCTTGTCCCCTCTTCTCCCTTACCTTTCTTCCCGATCTCCTTCTACTTTCAGGCCCAGTTCTTTCAGAATGTCCCCCCATTTCCATCTAAGTAACTTCTTTACATTCCTTCTTGGGAGTTATTCCTGACTAATATCACCCTTCAAGGCCCTTATCGCTCTTGATCCCTCTGTGTTCATCACTCTGTATTACAGTTGATTACATCCGCCTCCGGTTTATCCACTACTGTGTGCTCCTGAGGGCAGGATCAAGTGAGTAGCAGCTGTCGTGGAAGGAGCCTCCTCTCTGTGCCAGGAGTCGCTGCCTCCCCAGTGCCCCTACGGTTCCCCACAAAGAGCCAGTGCCTGGCACATATGTGTTGAGTCTGTGACAGAATACTGTGCTTCTGGGAGCGTGTCAAAGGAGAAAGCCGCTCACTGTGTCCCAAACAGGTGCATCTGCTCACTCTGATAACACATGCCCTTTCGGAGAAAAAAAAACAAACAAACTCTACAGTTCATTTTTAATAGAGCAGCCAGAATGACCTTTTAACATTTTAAATCAGATCATGCCATTCCTAGCTTAAAACCTGCCTTGGTTTCCCTCTGCACTCTGAATAAAACCCGCACAACCTACCGTGGTCTCCGCAACTCAACCCCCGCTTTCGCCACTGGCCTCATTTCCTACCCTCTCTCCTCTCCTGAGACTCAAGGTATGCTGATCCTCCACTTTCCAAAAACCTTGAAAATTCTTTACCAGGTGCGCCACTCTAAGCACCTTCCTCATGTTATGTTGCCCACTCTCCCAACAACCGTATGAGGTAGGTGCGAGGACAATCTCCCTGTTACAGGAACAGAACCCAAAGCACAGAAAGGCTGAGTAACTTGCCTGGATAAGGTCCTCCTTGATCTTAAAGTCAAGCCCAAGTTCCTAAACATGGTTTTGAATATCTACCAAGACTTGACCTCTGCCTGCCTCACCTGTGTCCCTCTCCAGACACAGCCTTCCGGCCCTTCCTCCGGCTTGCTCCGGTCCTACCTCAGAACCTTCCCACACGCCATCCTTTCCGCCAGGGACAGCGCCCAGCCCTTTCCCCCCGAGGAATGCCACTCATCTTCAGGATTCAGCGTGCCGCCTCTTGCGGGATGCCTTCACAGAGCTCCAGTCTTGTCCTCTGAGGCACGTCCCATAGCTGCAGTGAAGGGCCTGCGTATGTCTGACCTCCCACCGGGCTGAACGCAGGGAAAGGTGAGGACAGGGTCGGACGCACTCAGCACTACCTCACGTGCGGCAGGTGGCATCCTGGGTCTCGTGAGTCAGCTGGCTTTGCCGTGTCAGCTTCCCCCAATGGAACGCAGGCTGCACAAGAGCGGGGAGTTTTGTTTTACTCACTCCTGCTTCCCTAGCACGCGAGGATGCGTCAAGTGACTGGAACCATCACTTCCCTTCATGTCTAATGCCCCTGCCCTCCACATTTCAGCAGATAGGACTCCACACTAGGCTTCTACCAGAGGGCTCTCCCAGCCCGAGAGCTGAGGCACCAAACAGATCAGCAGAGAGGAAGACACCCCCCTCCCCTCAGTGCCCACGGCTTTTGACTTTCTGGGGCCCGTGAAACACCGTGGGAGTGTCTCGCCGGTTTGTTTTCTTCTGTTAAAACCCTTTACAAAATATGGAATTCAGGGGCGCCTGGGTCCCCAGTCGGTTAAGCATCTGACTCTTGGTTTTGGGTCAGGTCACGATCTCAGTCGTGCGATGGAGCCCCGCGTCCAGCTCCGCACGGAGCCGAGCATGGAGCTTGCTTATTCGGATTTTCTCTCCTCTCCCTCTGCCCCTCTCCCCTTGCTCACTCTGAAAAAAAAGTAAATTTTTTTAAAAACCATAAATAAATAATTAATTAAAATACGGAATTCAGGCTTTTCCAAATGGCTGCATCTGTGGGGTTTTTTTGACTGGAGTCAAGCTGTGTGAAACCGGCCTGAGAAAGCGTCCGGGGGAGGCAGAGTGGGGCAGAGCGGCAGGGACTGGAGAGACGCCCAGCGCGCTGCTTGCCAGCCGTGTCCTCGCGTAGCCACTGCTTACCCCCCACCCGTAAAACAGGCATAAAAAACGCCCACCTTGCAAAGCTGTTGGGGGACTAGACATACTTGCAAGACAGCCTGACTCTGCAAGTGCGCAGTTACCACAGCCTCTTCTGTGCTACCGTCTTGCACCCACAGACACGAAGGGGACCTGGAGCCAACCGTTCGGGCTCCCCCAAGGAGACAAACGGCCCCAGCCGCCTCTAAACGCCCAGAGCCCCGCTCGGCCGAAGGAGGCCTTTATCAGCCGCCCTGACCAGACAACGAGTAGCCCAGCCCCGCGCACCGGGTCTGCAGCCCGCTCCCCACAAAGCCCAATCGTTTTAGCCCAGGCGGGGGGAACCGGCAACCCGGCCGCAGAACTCCCCGGGCCCCACCGCAGGCTGCGCCGGGGCCCTGGGCAGGAGGAGGCCGGCCGCGGGCCTCCAAGCCTCCGGACGGCCCGGCGCTCGGCCCCCGGCGGCAGTGCCACCTAGCGAGGGCCAG